CTGCAGTGGGGCTGATGCCCACGCTGCTGGCCGCCTGGCCCTCGTTGGAAACTAGCTCACTTGAGCCTGGTGTGCCTCCACACGGCCACCTTCCTGACGTGCGACAGCAGCCAGAGGCGTTCGTCCCGATGGCCAATTGTGGCAGAACCTCCTAAATTATAGGGCCCACATGCATCTGTCACTGTCCAATGACCTCTGACAACTATGCATATGTTTTCGATAACTTAAGAAGACTGTCGGGTGTCCTCGGGGAACCCCGAATCATCTACGATTTTTCCGAGCATGATCCATTACAGAGTTATTGCAGTATTACAACAATTTATTCATTAATTTACATCAGAGCAAAATAGCGAAAGTCTTACAATAACTTAGTTACAAAACAGTTGTATCAAACCTTACAAACTAAGTATGATTATTATTATTACAAACCATAGTAGTGGAGTAGCTTTAGTAACATAAAACATAACACACAAAGAAAGTGTCCTGCCCAAGGGCCACACATTTACTTGTCATCTTCGATTTGAAAAACCGTCATGCAGCACGGTCCAAAGTAGACCTGCTCATGAGGCTCACCTGCAACAAGGGTCAACGAACCCTGAGTACAAAAGTACTCAACAAGACTTAACCAAAGTAAAAACTGATAAGACTCAGGAATGCAGATTCAGGGATTCATGGTATGGCTTTAGCAATAAATAAAGTTCTTTTGCGTAAAAGCTCTTTAACAAGATTCTTTCTTTCAACATTAATCCTCATCAAGATCATATATGAATCTGCCATGATCCGTATTGAGATCATGAACTTCATATCAAATTCTCTCAAATCTTACTCAAGTTCCATTTGTTAACTACGATGATGAACAGTGAGTTGAGTCTCCATAACTGAGGAGCAACGACAATTCAAACCGATTATAACCCAGTTGGGGATTTCCAACCACACGACATATGCAGGTCCCTGACCTACATATACCAACCTACTCCCAGGTCCTCTAAAACAAGAACGGGTCCACGCCACCTGAGAGCACAGTACTCCACCAATCCAGCCCATTGCCACGTGGGTACACGCTACTCCTGCCATCTCTCCACTCCCAGTGCGCGAGTAGCCATTCTCGTAATAGAATAGCCGAGTTAAGGCTTACCGGAGTATGTGGCTAGTACTACAAAGTCTCACCTCATGCAATTCAACAACGAACGGTTCTTAATCGACACAGGCGGAAAGAACCCGCTCACAAGACATTCATGTCTTGTGGCTCTTATACACCGAGTCCGTCCGGTCTAGATTTATTACTCCATAAGATCATATCTCATGATAACATAAATAACCAGTCGTATCCAAAAACCCTTTTATATTTCACAGGTGACAGATAATCACCGGACTTTTATCTGTCTAAGCATGGCTAAGCATAACTAGGCATTCTCGAATTAAAACTGGTAACAAGGTTGATATGGAAAGACAAGGTTGGTAATGCACCAATTAGATTTTCACTCAACTCCTAATCACTTAATGCAGTACTTGAAAGCAAAAGCGATATAAATTTGTAAAATACAAGGTATGTTTAAATGCATCTGGGGCTTGCCTTGATTGATGGAAAAATCAGGTTCCGGAGATGTTTCACAGATATCAAACCCGACCTCAACAGGTGGATTAACTTCCTCAACAACTTGGTTGACTACCACGTTTTCACTTTTGTTCACTACACGTAGTAACAATGCCATATTTAAAATGATGCGAGATATAAAACATGATGCTTGACGATGGATGCAAAAGTTAATAACTTGAATACAACTTTCCTTCGTGGTACAGTTGCAAACCAACACTAATTAAACCTTTTCGTAAACTCAAACACTTACTTTAAGTACCAAGGATCAATTTATGCTAATGACCCAAGGTCATCACTCAATCCAAAAATTCAAACAAAATCTAAGTCATTAAGGTTTACTATTTGTTTTTATGAATTAATTATTTAATTCAAAATTATGAAATGAATCAACTTTTTCCAAATGAGCTCAAAATTTTTGTGAAGGCTCATCACATGATAACTAATTGGCAAAACAATTTTCATAATTTTTCGATAATTATTTAAGCCTAGAAAAATTATGGAAACCCATTTATTAATTAATTTGAGCAATTTTTATCACATTCAAAAAGTATTGAAAAGTAACATTTAATATTTCTCCTAAATAGTTTACATCTCAGAGGTCACACAAAAATTTTCATAATTTTTGGAGCTCTATTTAATTCTACACAAAATAAACAAATCATAGCACTATTTAAACATTTCTGCAAATTTGAAAAACTCATTTTCAAATCAACGGCCACTGACATGTGGGTCACCCATGTCGGCACAGTACCCCCACACTCAGCAGCGACGACCACGCTTTGACCGGCGATTTCTCGCCGCCGGTGAGGTCTCCGGTCACGACTGAGTTACCGGCGTGATCCCCACGGCAAGGCGCACCTATTGGTGGCATTAATTGCACCAGTCACGGCTCACACCGAGCTCGACGCCGGCCATGGCGGCCACGGCGGTGCAGCTGCATTACGCCGACGAAGTAAGGCCGGTAGCGGTTAAACAAAAAGCTTGGGAAGACTCAGTAGCTCACCACAAACACGCTCGAGCTGATGGCTGAACCGGAGGAGCAACAGAAAAGCTTGTCGGCGATCAAGGCAGATACGGTGGAGCAAGTTGTCGTCGACGGTGGCGTTCCGGTGGCTGTAGTGGACGAAAAGGTCATCCAACAAGACACAGAGCATCACGGCAACACGGAGAAGATGGAGCTACGCTTCGTAAGGGCAGAGACGCACCGTAGAGTGTTGGCCATGGTGAAGCGAGCTCGACGGCGTTGTGGCCGGCCGCGAGGAAGAAAAGCGACGCGCAGCGTATCTCGACGAAATCAGGCGCCTATGATAGGTTGGCTGGGTTCGCAAGGAGCAGGCGGAGCGGTGACATGCTTGGCTGAGACTGGGAGAGGTCTACGGCGACGGTGCGAGCTCGTCGGAGCTAGGCGGTGACGACGGGAAAAACAGAGGAAGGAAGCGGAGGAGGACGACGACGGTGTCCCGGCTTTATAGCGTGGCCAAGAAGCACGGAGAAGCCACGTAGCAGCCTTCCCATGCCAGTGCGAAGCCGAAGGTGGCCACGGGCGCGCCTGGAAGTCAATGGAAGCTCGCCGACGGTGAGGTGTCACCTGCTGGCACTGTTCCCAATATTTACCGAATTGTCATTTGCTTTAATTCTCAAATTACTCCCAAATTTGTATGGTAACTCAAAAATCTCCAAAAACAAAAGTTGTTCCAAAATAAAAGTTCTACAACTTTGCTTTTATAACCATACTCAAATTATGTCTACATTTTAAAATGCAAGTTTAAAATCAAAAGGGGACACTTTAAGAATTCACCCCTTTTTAAATTACTTCAAATTTTATATAACAACTTTGAAAACTCTAAAAACCAACTTTGTACACATTGACAAGCTCTACACTTTATCTTTTAGGCTCAACCCAAAAATGTGCTTAGATTTTGAATTATGTTTTCTAGGGTAGAATTAAATGCTGGAAATTAGGGTTTTAGAAATCCAATTCAATACAAAGGTTTTGAACTTGATTCATCCATACAAGTCAACACATATAATCATAAAAATAAACTTGTTTTAGTAAATGCATATCAAAGTTTTCACTAACACCAAAATGATGTGTAATGCATATGATGGCATGACATATTTTAGGGTTTAAAACACTAGATGTGTTACACTAATGGACAGTCCACGCGCGCCCTTCCTCACGGCGGGCGGCAACCTTTTCCCGACGATGGTTGGAGGCACTTGGGATCCGGTGAGGCCCGCCTCTTCCCTCGACAACCGGCGCGTGGGATCCGGGGGGCGATCTCCGCAACAGCTTGCGCAAAGCTAGGAGATCGAGGACGGGAAAGAACCGACTATGGCGAATGGGTCCTATATAACAATGTCTATTAGGATGAATCTAAGGACTTTGACTTGAGAGCTTCTGCTGGAGCAGATGCAAAAATGAGGCACTAAAAAATGAGGGGAGCCCTCAAATTAAAAGTAGAGGTCTTGATTTGAAAGCTACTGCTAAAGATGTTCTTAGAGAAGCTTGGTTTAGAGCAAACCCAAAGTGACTTATACTCCCTGTCCCCAAAAGTTTCAAGGTCCATTTTGCGGTTGGAGATCAAACAATTTCAACTTGGTTCATAGCTCTTTAACTTTGACCAAATCCTTATAAAAAATACTAACATTTATGATACTAAATAAAATATTATAAGATTAATTATAAAATATAATTTAGTAATAAACTATTTATAAAAGACATAAATATCGATATTATTTTTTATAAAAATTTACAAACTCAAGAAAATGTTATTTGTTTACAATTTTTTCCAGAGACGGAATGAGTAATTTGTAACGGAGAGATTACACGGAAGTCGTTCTGATCCGGGCGAGAAGAAAAGCCTCGATCGCAGCGGCTATGATTTTGGTCTCGTGGTTGTAGCCTCACTGCTACCCCAACTCAAGACCGGCGCAGCCGCACCAAGATTAGCCGAACCGCAAAATAAAGGGCGATCGGTTTAATCACTCAACTCGATATTTCGAGGTGCAATTCCAAGGCTGCTTTTGTGCATCCGAGATGAGATAGTGCTAATGGACGATGTGTGGCCATCTTTTATTCCTCCATTACCGAAACTGCCGGCCATAGGCCGCAGACCAGCCAGTTGTGTGATTATCTGCAGTGTGTGTATTGCTACTCGGCACCAGGTGAACGAAGTCAAGAACACAAGGATTCCAGGAGCTGTTCAGCTTGCGGCCTATAAGCCGGCTACTAGTATTTTGTTGCGTGAGAAAAATATTATGGTCCTATTCATTTCTCTTATAATCCGTATTTTTCAGTTTGTTTTTTTAACGAAAACAGTATTTTTCTCTCACAACAAATCAGTCGGAACAGTGTTTCAGATTGTTTTTTCGGGGAAGCGAATGGGGTTTATATCATAGTTCAAGCAAACAGGGCGGCAATCAATCTTTGAGCCGATATTCGAAATGACTGGAACGCAGTCTCTGAGAGGTTGTTCCCAGCAAGAAAATCAAAATAAATTCTGTTCATAAATTTCACAAAATCTTCAGAGATCGCACAGAACTATTCAGTCTTTTTTTTGCGAATCCTCCCCCCCCGCGTCAGCTCCTTCCCAGCGTAGGGGCTGTTTGCGCCGCGAGTCTCGGGACTAGGGCAGCGCAAGACCCACCCACGCCCTGCACGGCTGCACGCTGCGCGCAGGCCCCAGGGGCAGGGGCAGGGACAGGGCGGCGGTTCCCCAAGCGCATCGGCATCGCCATTAGATTAGCGAGGAGGAGTAACCGCTTTGTTGATCCACCCGAAAAGCGCATCCTTTTACCGCCAACCTTTGCCTTTGACCCGTCCGCCCCACCCTCGCGCACCCTTTGTCTCTCCTTTGCACTTCGGCCTTGGCCTCGCCGCCTGAATCCCCACAAGCCCCCACACCAATCACTGGAGGGGAGGGCTCGCGCTCAGTCCCAGTAGCCGCCGTACTATGCAGCTCAGGTCCGCGTCGCGCCGTCGCCATGGCTCAGTCATGTGAGTCTCCTACAGGTACAGGAGGCGCCGTCTCTCACCTCTCAGTGCCCGCAGTCAGCACCGGCAACGCCATGGCCGCTCCTCGGTCCTACTAGCAAAGGTACCTCCTCCTGCTCCCCCGCTCGCCGTCGCCGGCTGACTGACTGAATGACCGCCGGCTGACTGATTGATTGATTCGGGTGTCATTTTCCCCAGGTGGGGATGACCATTCCTGATCTGTTGCTTTAATGCTTCCCCCCATCACTTTCCAGATCCAACCCACCTCTTCTTCCTCCTCCTCTCCTCCCCCCGCCCGCGTCTTTATAAATCTCCCGCTGCCGCATTCACTGGCCACCGGAGTTGTCAGTGCCCCCATGTCCTGACGCGGACGCGGGCGGAGCACACCACATGCGGATGTGCTGTGCTGTTGCCTGCCTCATATGATCCCGGTGTGCTCCATCATACCTGCCTCTCTCCTTCTTCTTTTTCCGCCGGGGGGAGAAAAAGCGGGGGCAGCGAGTTGTGCGCCTTGTGAGCTCGCAGCTGTTCCAGGTTGCAATGCCTCTGCTGCTCGTGCTTTAGTTTAGTCTGCCCCCCGCCCCCTTTTTCTTCCCGTTCGCTTTGGTTGGGGACATCTAAAAAAATTTCCCTTTCTTTGCTAATCTCTCTGGCGCTGGCCCACTTCGCGCACCCTATTTTTGTGGGGAATGCCGGGGTGGGGGCTTGTGATTTTTGAGCCCTCGTTCTAGTGCTTGGCCTTTTGGGGGGGGAGTGTTGATGCGGCGTTATGGGGGCGCTGGATCTGTTGTCAAACGCGAGCTCGTAGCACTAGCACTTGCTTGTCGGGGAGCCTGCGAGGTGATTTCTTGCCCATGGATCCTGAAAAGGCTCCTCTTCTTCTTTTTCTGTCTAATCTCTCACATAGGTATCCGCCGCCGTGTGTTTGCTATTCTGCCTGTCTCGTTGTGGATTAGTGTTTCCTTATTCAGTTCTTTCGTTTTCGTTGGATTGGTCACTCTGCAGCCTGGTTTTCTTGCAGAGCCTTTTGTAGTTCTGTTGCTAACGTGGTGAATTGATTTTCATATCAGGAGTTGGGGATTGTGCTGCCACTCTGCTGAAAGTTTAGAGAAGGTGGAGAATTTGTGGTGTTTCCCTGCCTGTTAGAGTCTGCACTTCTGTGTTCCTGATCAACTGAGATTGTTGTCTTCTCAATCTGTCTCGCCAAGCATGGCTGGGCAAACGGCAAAAGCAAAGGAAGCAGGAAAAGATGACAGACAAGAACCCAGAGCTGAGGCGACGAAAGAGAAGCTGCTGCCATCTCACCAGCAGCAAGAGCCTCCAGCTTCTGTGGTGGACAAGGATTCTTCTGGTGTCTCTTCAGTCCCTGGCAATGAGTCGCAGGTCCTAGATGGGGATTCTGGTGAGTTGAAAGTGGAGGAAAACTTGGATAGTAATGGGAATAAGGAAAAGAAAACGTCCCAGAAGAGCAGTACAAGTGATGGCTTTGCTTCTGCTAAAGTGAGTGATGGGACAAGTAGTTTGAGGAAGACCAGTGGTAGTGCGACGATGAGTACACGGGCTGATTTCACTGAGAGTGGGAAGAGTAGCATGTGCCGTGCGAGCACGGGCAGTGACATTAGTGATGAGAGCTCCTGCAGCAGCATGAGCAGTGCCACCACGAAGCCACACAAGGGGAATGATTCAAGGTGGGAGGCGATCCATGTGGTGAAGTCCAGGGATAATGTTCTTGGTCTGAATCATTTTAGGCTGCTTAAGAAGTTGGGTTCTGGTGATATAGGAAGTGTTTACCTCTCTGAATTGAGTGGTACACGGAGTTACTTTGCAATGAAGGTTATGGATAAGACTTCTTTGGCGAGTCGGAAGAAGCTGCTTCGAGCTCAGACTGAGCGGGAGATCCTGCAGTCCCTGGACCATCCATTTCTACCAACCCTGTATACTCACTTTGAGACAGATAAGTTTTCATGCTTGGTTATGGAATTCTGCCCTGGAGGGGACCTCCATACTCTTCGCCAAAGGCAACCTGGAAAATATTTTTCAGAGCAAGCAGCAAAGTATGTACTTCTGCTAATGATAAGTTCAATATCTCGCATAATTCGCTGGTTACCTTTTTTTTACCAGGATCTGTGCAATGCTTATCTGCGTGTCAACATGTTTGCATTGCAATTTTGTTCTATCATCATTTTGTGTGGAATAATTTTTTGTACCCACATGGTCAGTTGCATGTCATGTTTATGCATTTTCATGTGCTAACGCAAACATGTTTATTGCTGTCGATTGAGGCGGTGGGATACTGTTGTAGACCCCTTCAAAAGTTTCTTGTTGCATTTATATGTTGATAATATTCTACAATAATTTAGATACTCATTGGATGACATCTATCTTGAAATGCTTTAGGTGCTAATTTTGAAATTCTGATCTCTTTATAAATTTGTGCTATTTTCTGTCTTCATTAAAATGACTTTAACTTATTTGGCACTGATTAGATATCTTGATGTTTCAGGTTCTATGTAGCAGAGGTGCTCCTTGCATTGGAATACCTGCATATGCTTGGGATTATATACCGTGATCTTAAACCAGAAAATGTCCTCGTTCGGGAAGATGGCCACATCATGCTGTCAGACTTTGATCTCTCTCTTCGCTGTTCAGTAAGCCCAACGGTGATCAAGTCTGCAAATCCTGGCCTAGATGCAATGCAGAGGAACAATGCAGCATACTGTGCCCAGCCTGCTTGCATTGAACCATCCTGCATTCAGCCCTCTTGTGTAGCTCCAACTACTTGCTTTGGCCCCCGGTTCTTCTCCAAATCTAAATCCAAGTCGAAGTCCAAGTCCAAGAAGAAGTCAAAGCCTGATGCTGCAAACCAAGAGAACCTCTTCCCAGAGCTCATTGCTGAGCCAACTGATGCTCACTCGATGTCCTTTGTTGGCACCCATGAGTACTTGGCCCCAGAAATAATAAAAGGGGAGGGCCATGGAAGTGCTGTGGATTGGTGGACCTTTGGCATATTCTTGTATGAGCTGTTGTTCGGCAAGACCCCTTTCAAAGGTTCAGGCAACCGGGCTACACTCTTCAACGTTGTGGGCCAGCCCTTGAGGTTCCCAGAGTCCCCAGTAGTGAGCTTCTCTGCGAGGGACATGATAAGGGGATTGCTAGTCAAGGACCCACAGCACCGACTTGGGTACAAGCGTGGTGCTACCGAGATAAAGCAGCATCCTTTCTTCGAGGGCGTGAACTGGGCTCTCATAAGGTGCGCGAGCCCTCCAGACATACCAAAGCCTGTTGAGCTCGAGTGCCGCCCAAAGCAAGTGCCATCAGCAAATGGAAAGGTCGCGCCAGTCGCTAACCAAAAGGGGCCAGATAATTATCTAGAGTTTGAATTCTTCTAGGATTTTTTGTGATTTCTGAACTGAAAGAGTGCATCTGGGCTGATGCTGTGAAAGAAAGTGAAAGATGATGAGCTACTCTAGGCATGTGCTTGGCTGGAATTTTTTTTTCTGCCATTAGACTGTATTCTCGTTTCAGGATATCCGAGTTGTTTTCTTTTTTTTTTTCCTGTTGAACTGCTTAACTCTAGGGTCTACTCAATCCATCATGTATGTTGCAATTTTCAGAACCCACCTATGGTACTTGAAATGGATTTCAGGGCTACTTGTTCTAGCTGTCTTTGTAATGCCTACTGTACTTTGTAATTGATGCTTCCTCTTAGAACATGTCTTGCTCTACAAATGCTGATATCTGAACACGGCATTGCTACTCATCTTAGTCTGTCGTGAAAAACAGAAACTGGTGTTTGCATTTGTTGGTTGTCCGGAGGCGAGATTGAGACCCCGGCAAGGCAATGCAACAAGAAGCTTCGAGTTTGTAAGGCATTTTTGGGGTCCCTGGAGCTAAGCATCTGGACAACGGTTGTATTGTTGTGGGCTTGTAGCATAATGATTTGTTCCTCAATTCGCTGGATGTTTCGGGCATGATTGGTATACCTTAATGTTTCGGGCCTGGCTGAACTTCAAGGCCAGGCTGGAACACCCTAGGTGTTAAGCTTGTGTTTAGCCTTGGCATTGCATAAGCACAAGCATCATTGATCATTCATGAGCATGAGTATTTCAAATACTTTCTCTATGTTGGCTTATATTACATGTGTTGTCACTCAATTGCCTTACATATGTTAGGGTTTACATGTAATCAATGTATAAAATGATTGTGGAACCTTAGAGTACCTTTAACATGTTTAGAATATCACATGGAGCAACTTTGGTATTCATGACTAAGGCTAGTTTGGTCTCTAAGTCATAGCTATAGTGTAAATCATCATTTGTAAGTTGTATGTTTGACTGGAGTTGAACATCACTTTAGAAACTTTGCATGGCTGTGTACCCTAAAACAAAGTTGTAGAACTCAAGTAGTGTAACAACTTTTATTTTTGGTCATAGGCTAGTTCAACTCGTAACATGCTTGAATTTGGCTCACAAGAATCAACATTGTACTGTTTTTGGAACTTACGAATTTTTCAAGTCGTATTGAATTTACAGTTTCGTTGTGGCTGACTTTGTGATGATTTAACTCCATAATCGTTGCGAATTAGGAGATGAGTACTAAAGCAATTTTGTAGCCTATACTTAGATCTTCAACTTTTATTAATAGAGTTTGTGCTAACTAATCACGGTTTAGGAGTCTGTAAGGGTTGAAATCGCGTTGTCAGGTCTGCCATCGGGCTCTGATGGCCAAAGTCGCCTCGCCGTGGGTGGCCGACCGCGTCAGGCCACGGACGCCGCGTGACGGCCGTACACCGCCGACGGCCCGGCCGGTCAAGCCACGTTGGGCACAAAGGCGCCCCACGCTCGCTCGTTCACGCCCGCGCCCTCATTCCCTCTCTATTGCTCTCTCTTGCGTTCGCAGCGGGGCTGCTCTCGCTGACACGCCACCGCGCTGCTCCGTCGTCACCTAGACCCTGCGCCACCGCACCATTGCCGTCTCCATCTAGTCAGCAGCTGCGCCATCTTCCTCTCTACCTTCTCGACACAGTAGCAGGGCCAGGCGAGCTATGGTGAGGGCGAAATCGCCGTTCTCGTCCTCGTCGGGATGTTGGCTTCTATGGCCGCCTTCACGGCGAGCTCGCCGCTGCTCGGCTCCTTTGCGCATTCCTTCGTCTTCTTCGCGTTAGAGCTTGGTTACGATGTGTCCTAGCTTCTGGCATGACGCCACGGAGAATCGTTGCCTCGCCGACGCGGAACACGACGGCCAGCGCCACCGCGCTCTCGCCGCCACACCATCGCGCACGCGGATAGACCTCGTCGGCGTGTCCCACCTAACCAAAGTAGTCTCGGTAGGTTCGCGTGTTCACCGCGGAGCCTGTACGCTTCTCGCCGGGCCTTGTCGTGGCCAGTAGCGGCTGGCGTACCTCCACACAGCGCCGCCGTGCCGCCATATCCGGCGACGAGCACGCTTCGGTGAGTCCACGCTGCCACCACCGGTACCAATCAACGCGGGTGAGTGAGGAGAGCATGAAGGTGCGGTAAGTTTCCCCGGAGAGTTCGCCGTTGGCGAGCTAGCGCCGGTCAAACCCGCGCCCCTATTTCGGTTCACTGACAGTGGGGTCCGCTGACTGCTGGGTCCCGCGTGTCAGCGACTGCAGTTAGGGTTTAGTTTTATTTCTTTTCTAGATTTTTGTGCTAACTTTGAAAAATGATATCTTGAGCTAGGAGTGTCCAATTTTGGTGAACCAAATTTTGTTGGATTCCTCATGAAGTGTAGTATTTTATAAAAATATGAAATGTACTATTTCTGGTATTTTTAAAGGTGAATAAATTATAGCTAGATAAGTGTTTTTTGAATGTTTGCAATCTTGTAAAATGTGTAACTTGAGCTAGGAATGTGATAAAATTTTGATTTCAATTTTTGCTGGTCTTGTATTGACATGCTATAGCTAGTAAAAATAATAAATTTGCAGTAAACTTGATTGAAATAGGGCATTTCTATTTATCTATTAATAAAGGGTGTTTTCTGAGGAAAATTATAGGGATAAAAATAAGTAACATATTGCCATGCAGATATTTGTACAGTATTATGGCACTAGGATGAAGCTAAGAAAAATATAATATCTATTGTTTGACACTTTTCTATGGGGTTAAGTATTTTCACTAAAATAAACCTTGCTAGCTTGTCATTTTTGTAGAGGATGTTATACATGTTCAAATGCTATGAAAATTTTACAGTATTCTATTGGGAGCACTTGGAAGCTACTGAAATTTTATGAGAATTTATTGTGTATATTTGGTATATGTTTGTTATTTTCCCTAATTATCTAATTAAATTAATAAATTGTACTTGACCATGATGTTTTCTATGGTGCTTGTGATACATAAGAACTGTTGATGTTAGTAGTAAGGCTTAGAAGCAATTGGTTGTATGCAACTAATTAATTATTGCTTTTATAATTCAACTAGAGGGTTGTATGCATAGTTTTGGTTGAGTTGATAATTTCATGATGATAATGGTCTTTTCTGTAAATCTTGTTAATAACAAAGTTGTGGATAACTTACTGATCTACCTTGTGTTAAATTTTCATAGTCATTGGCCTTAGGTTTAAGAGTTTTGGTTGTTAGAAGTTTGCTGTCCAAAATATTTGCTCTCTGGACAGATTTGAATAACTGAATTGTTTGACCTAGATAACTGTTGAATACCATCAAGGGTATTAAAAGGAAGTTGTAGACAATTTCATAAGCTTTCCAGAATATTCACAACCATATTATTTTGATGTAGATAACTCCAGTTAGGGTCAAAACAAGTAGCTGCTATCTTATAGTCCCGAAAATATATTATAGAAGTGTTTGCTTAAGTAATAGAGAAGAGATATGCACCTACTCAATAGAATAGGATGCACTTGTTATTACTTTAATACCATGCTGTTGAAAAACATTTATGGGGATGCATTTATCATGTCATATCATATTATACGTGTCATCATATATGCATTCGTGATATCTTATTCCATGCTCATCCATATAGGATCGACCGAACAGATAACATTGTTGGAGTTCTGAAAGCATCTAGGCCCCTAAGTGGATTTTGGTGATTAATGTCAATACAAGATTACTATGACTAACGTGTGTTTTGCAGAGGCAATTAAGTTAGGTCATGGTAATGGAGATCGATTGGGCAATTGAGGTTGTCATGCCCCCACGATGGAAATCGTTTCGGTTTTCAAATGATGGACGACAAGGTTAAGGATAACTAGTTCTGAGTGTCAATTGAAGTTGGAGAGACACTTAGAGTAGTTTAGGACTTTGTTTTTTCTTTGGCCGTACTATGTAGGGGGGTATGAACGGGTAGCTTGACCTAGTTGAGTCTAGTGAGTTAGGTGTGGTGCACACTTGTTAAAACTAGCTCTAGGTAGCTCCTATGAATGCCTAAGATCCTTTGGAGCAAACTTTATTCTCATATGATCGAGAGTTGGAAGTGAATGGAGGGTCAAATACTGACCGGATGCTGGCTCCGGTGCGACCGGACGCTGGCCGCAGGGTCCGGTCAGTTTATTTGACTGAGGAGAACATGTCTGGAGTGACCGGACGCTGGAAGGTCGTGTGACCGGACGCTGGGGGCCAACGTCCGGTCAACTCCAGTAAGGGTCCAGACTTGAGAAAGTGTGACCGGACGCGTCCAGTCAGTGGTGACCGGACCCTGAGTATCCAGCGTCCGATCGATTACAGTAAGCATCCAAGAGCGACCGGACGCGTCCGGTCAGTGCTGACCGGACCCTATCAACGTCCGGTCATCACTTGGAAACTGTTGCGCGGGTTGAACTGACCGGAGCGTCCGGTCAATATGATCGGAGCGTCCGGTCATCCCGCAGAAGCTCATAACGGTTCGTTTTTCAGGTTGCCTTATAAATAGAAGCTCCACTCGAGTGAGGAGTTACTTTTGCTCATTCCAACAGCTGAGAAACACGTTTGTGAGTGCCAAGAAGAGCAAGGTCCTAGTGAGGTGTTTGTGATTTGAGAATCCAAGAGTGAAACCTCATTAGTGAATCAAGAGTAGACAAGTGTGCATCCATCTTCTCATTAGGCTTCGCGTGGTCAAGTGAGAGTTCGTGCTTGTTACTCTTGGTGATCGCCATCACCTAGACAGCTTGGTGGTGATTGGGAGCTTGGTGATTACCCGGCGGAGCTTGTGGGTGACCCAACTCAAGTTGTGAGCGGTTTTGGGTTATTCGCCGCGACGGAGTGTCGAAGAATCAACCCGTAGAGAGCACTTGATCCTTGCGCGGATCAAGGGGGAGCTACACCCTTGCGTGGGTGCTCCAACGAGGACTAGTGGAGAGTGGCGACTCTCCGATACCTCGGCAAAACATCGCCGCGTTCCTCTCTCCATTTACTTTGAGCATTTACTT